CAACATTATTTTGCGTTTAATTTGCTTAAGGGTCAGACAGTGACTAGAAGCCGCAGTGTAAGAGGTGCAGTTTCTTCATTGTGTCTATGCAGCGAAAACGCCGGCTAATTTTCGAGCGTTTTAGGACAAACCCGGTAGGAAACGGACATACCCCGTACTTCCTTGCCATCATACGAAACAGTGTGAAAATGCTTCCCGGAACTAGTTAATCAGATAACGGGAAACACGTTCGCCAAAAATTGACTAACAAACGGCTAAAAAGGAGAAGTATTTAGTCCCACATTGCCCTTTCGAGGGGAACTCGCCAATTTAGTTCACCTTTTTAACTGACACTCTGTTTTTACGAGCACTTTCACGGTGGCCAAGATAAGATCCATTTTCACAATTACCCCTTTTCGTGGGAAAAGATTGGTTGTCCAGTCAGGCATCATTAGCACACACGTAGATCTTAATTTTTCCCACTGAAACAAGCCATATTGGCTGAATGAATAGGCGACCATCAAAGTGAATGCGGTGGCAACATCCTGCCAGGTTAGATGTAGACACATCAAAATCCAGACCGATAATATTACTGACAAGGGCAAAGCACACTGTAATGGCCATTTCTGAGTTATTAGCCGTCGTTATACCCAGATCGAAGTAGTGCCCCAGTCATTAAATACTTAAGCTGGTTGAGTACACGTATGGAGCTGTAGGACGTCTCTTTTATGCATTTGCTGAGTTAGAAATGCGGTCAAAGCGGAGTCTCTCTTAAAATAAACGCTGCCAATTCGCATAAAACCGGGCCGTGAAACGAATGGGCCCGGCGACTCATCTGTGGATTTAACTTCAAATTGTTAGTCGGTTGAAACCGAACGATGAAATGTTTGATGATGTCGGAGTTTTCGGTCAAATCACTGTACTTCACACAAAGTCTCCTCCGATCAGCAAGCCTTTTGTCCTTTTTACTTCGTAATGTGATAAGCACCGCAGGTCACCTTTTTGTTCACTTTGCAGGTTGCTGCCAATTACTCTGGAGGCGGCCTAAAGTGGATCGCACAGTACTGTTACGGGGGCATGCTGGTGGACAACCTGCTCCAGGGATACGGCTTCAAGGATGACGAGAGCTGGAAACGAATCGAGTTTGTTGAAAAGGTAAGGATATACCCCTGGGTTCTTCCCTCCATTGGACCTTTCTACGGCGTGCAATGAAAATTGTTGAGCTAGTTCCCATGGCGCTGAGGTTCTTTACACCTAATTGCCTGCGCCTAGGCAAAAACGAAAGAGGAAGGCAGTTGAACAGAACGAGCAAAAGTGATGGCCATTGCAAAGGATTTTAATACAAAATGTTAGCTATATGAAGCCCAATATCACGGGTAACACTAAGCAGGTACTTTATCATCTGATTTAGTCACCCGGCTTGAAGCTCAAGGTTCGCCTGTTTTTGTTACATCGGACCGTTCTGTTTCAGTTAGCAGGTCGAGGAACAATACGGCCAAATGGATAATACAGTACATTCCCTTACTCGTGAGATTTAAACTAAAATTCTGAAGCATGTTTTCAATTTGATCAAGCTTTTTAACCTGGATTGTAATAGTGATTATCTTGCAGCTTACTTCAGTTGCGTCAGAATATCGGCCTTTGAACGAGCTTATTCCTGGTCCCCTAAAAAATTATACTTTGTAAAATGGCCACATTAGTAGTATGCACTGTTTTCCTTGATTGTTGTTGCTCCTATGAATTCGAATTTATTTTATTAAGAAAAAAACACGGACATAAATATTCATTTTGGTACTCTTTTGGTTAAAAATTATGCCTTCTTCAAATAGTTTTCTTGACGAAAGGGCATTTTTCAGTTTTAAAAAGGGTTTATAATTATGCTATTTAATAAGAATATGAGGTGTTTATGTCCACTAGGTCATATCCATTAATTTATTAATGATGCCTTAAAAGTATACAACGCGTTTTATATCCATTGTAAAATTTATGAGAACTATGCGGCTTCTTTATCATAGCCGACTGAAAGGTCTGATGTTCCTTAGACAGAATGTATACTCTGGAAACCTTGAATTCAAGTGTATCGGCTGGCAGTGTCCAACATTTTCCGGCAATTTAAGACGTTTTTAAAAACTGCAAGTTATCCTTTCTTCAAGCATAAGATTTAAAGAAGGCGAATTTACCTACCAAACGAGTACAATCAAGAATACTTTTTTGCATACTTTCTATGAAATACATTTGAATTTTTAGGGACACCGAAAATTAATTAGGGAAATTTATATAATTTATGCACCATTTTTACAGAGTATAATTTTTTCCGGTGACCAGAAAACAGCTCGTTGAGAGGCCAATATCCTGACGCGACTGAGGTATCTTGAGAGTAGGTTGCCTGATAATCACTATTACAACCCTCTTTAAATAGCTGGTTCAAATCTAAAACCCGCTAAAGAATTTCAGTTGAAATTTCCTTGAGATAGGAAACCTACCATATCTTGGCATTTGCAAGTAGACTCATGAGTCATATTGCTTGCACTGCGCACTTAGGCCAGGCATTCAGCATTGTTGATAAGAAAGAGGATCGATTGCAAATTTAAGGCCCACCGGCCTAATTAACCAACCACCCCCCTTATTATACTGTAAATAAAATTAACAGGCGACTCTACTGCTTACTGAAGTATTCTGCTTAAAGGAAGGAATAGAGGCATTCGAATCATAGATCCATTTGAATTCTCACGTAGGGACCAAAATGCTGCCGTCGAGAGGTGTTAACACCCAAGAAAATACACACTGGAATGGTCCCGTCTGGATAAGTAACCACAATCTCCCAGCGTCGGCATCAACCTTCGATGATTTATTGTTCGTTAGTTCATGAAAATTTGAAGTTGCTCTCCGCTTCGGGGTGAAACGCAAATGTTTGCCTTAGTCCTGAAATCAGGATAGACACTGGTGCACACCAGTATCAGGTGAACGTACTTCTGCGGTCTGAACCAACAGGGGAAGGGGGAACGTATTGGGTCTTTCAGTAAGACAGATGTGCTATCTAACCAACTGTATTTTTGATTCGTTAAGTTAATTGAAGTAACACTGTCCTATTAATTATCGCAGGGCAGAACCCTCAGATATTTTGGTCACGCCAAAATGTCGACGGCAGCTAGCAAAAAGTACAATCTATAAAAATGACTAATTAAGTAGCATGCTTTTTTGAATACTGCTTTTCGATACCGCTATACATTTAAATATATTTTGTAGAAAAATGGCTCTGAAATATTTTTCTTGTACTCATTTGACAGAAAATAACGTCTCCAGATTGTACACTTGGAATAAATGGTATCTTTGTGACTTACAAAATTTTAGCGGCGTCAAGTTTGTAGATGCAGTCAAAAAAATTCTTCTTGTATTCATTTGAAAGCAAATTACACCTCCAGTTTTATAATTTAAGAAAAGGTAGTTCTCGATTAAAAAAATGTTTCCGCTAACAATTTTTAATACCCTGAAATATCCACTCATAAAGCAACATACCTGTTTAATTATTAGTGCTGCTTATAAATTACCCAGCTTGGACCACATCCATTGCAAAGCTTAATCTGCAATATGTAATAGCTTTCTAAGAGCGTAGCCAAATGCGTAATGTTCCTTAGGCAGAATGTAAGCAGCTTGTAGTTTGATAACGCTGAATTCAAATTTAACGGAAGGTCAGGTTCAAGATAATTCTGAAAATATAAGTTATTTTTAACGGAAAAACACACCTTTTAAAAGATGAGATTTTAAGAAGCGATAAGTTGCTACCAAATAAGTGCAAGAAAGAATATTTCCAAGCTTGTTTTCTTTAAAATATATTTAAACGGATACAGACATTGAAAATCAATAAGAACAAATCATACTACAGGGTGTCCACGAAGTCTGGGTACATAGGGGATAAATACATACC